ATCTCCCACCACTCCCCAGCTGCAGAGCAGCCCAGCACCACCCTCCAGCTGCTCTGGGGGCTCCACAGAAGGAACCAGGCTGCAGACACCCAAGGGAGCACAAAGCCCCTTCAGGCAGAGTCCTTTGTGCTCTCAGGACCACAGCACTTGGCTGTTTGCTTGAACCACAGAATCACTTGGGTTGGAAAAGAGAAGAGAACGTTACAATTTGGTGGGTATAAAATTCAACACTGATATTTATAAACAACACCCATTGCAAAATCAGAATGAGAGGTCTAAAACCTAATCCCTTCTGTGTTAGTCCAGTTACAGAATACAGCAACCTTGGTGATAATAGACCTGATCATTTGGAGCAAATTCCTGAGCTGCATCACATCTTATTGAAACTATCATTTGAAACCACTTTTAACACCTCACCAAGGCACAGAAATGGTCAGCCTCAGAGAGGAAGTGCAATTATCTGAATAGAGATGCTTCCAACCAGTTGGAAATAAAAATATGTCAAGGTTATTAAAAAAATAAACACTAAATTTCTTTTCTTTTTTTTCTTCTCACCAGGGAGCATTAAAAATAAATGGCAAAAATGCAAAGTGGCCTTTAGACATTTCCACAAAGCTCCTAGTGTTGGTAGCAAACACCCTTCAGAGCCTGAGTGTCTCTCAAGAGCATTCTTTCAAACAATTTGAAGTGGCAAGCAAAAGAATTCCAGCGGCAAGCAGGTACCACTTTTGTTTGTTTTCTCCACCACAGTTCCTATCACACCACTGCTGGCCCCAGAGCAGAGCTGCAGTTCCCTGGGGAGCTCTGAACACAGGTTGTGCCTGTAATCCCAGCTGTATTTTCAAGCAATACCCCCAAGAAGCTTTTGCTGGAGACAGAGAAGAGGTAAAAAAACACCAAACAAAGCAGAGAAAGAGGCCACCTCAGAACACAGATCCTGTGAGCTTCAGGCAGTGCCTAGGGGAAGGCAGCTTGAACCCCAATCATTGTGTTTAGACAAAGTTTTATCACTTAATCTGGCCAACTTCATGCAGTTTTATCCAAGCAAATGTTCCAGAGTCTCTGTATGCAAGGTTATTTCTGCTCCATTCCTTATGGACACGACAGGAGCCTTCTGGAGGGCCTAAAATTGGATAACAGATTTCAGTGGAACACAAGGGTTTGGATTTAGTTTTAAAAAGGGATTGCCAGAGTCTTCTAGCTACAATACACTCACCTTCAGATGGTGGCATATGGGTAAGGGGAGAGCTCCTCTCAGGCATGCAAAACACAGCCCCAAATTATCCCCTGTTGTTGTGCATCCACTTAGAGCTCTCCCAGCTTCACTTGCTGCCAGTTCCACCCCTGAATTCAGTTGGGTGACTCAAGGACAGGTCCCATTTCTTCCCAAAGGCTCCATGTGCTCAGAGCCCATGGAACTGGCAAATCCACTTTTCAGCCTTCCTGTCCCAGTGGGACAATTTTGGGGGTCAATTTCTCTATCTGACACTGCAAAATCCAATAAACTTTGCAGTCAAAGCCAAGGGGACAGCGTGTGCACAGTGGGCATGGAAGCATTTGGCTTCCCCTTCCTACCTCACTAAAAGCAGCATCTTCCTTGTACATCAGGCTGCTCCAGAAGGGGAAGAGCACTGCCCATTTTAACTACCAGTATTTCAGAGCAATCAGCTCCACATCCCAATTTCCTTTGGCTCAGCTCTTGCTGTTAGGGGTTGTTTTGGCAACTGGAGTTAAGAACACAAGACACAGTTGTAAGAGAAGTCCAGCAAAAGTACTGAAGTCACAGGGAGGGAAGGGAAAGGAGAAAAATACACTTAAAAATTAACCAGAGATCAGAAGTGGGAAGATCTCCAAGCCCAAGAAAGGCTGAGGAAGTTTGGGCTGTTCAGCCTGGACAAGAGAAGGCTCTGGGGAGACCTTGTTGTGCCCTTCCAGTGACTGTAGGAGGCCTACAAGAAAGCTAGGGATGGACTTTTTGACAAGGGCTTGTAGTGACAGGACAAGGGGTAACAGCTTCAAACTGCAAGAGGGAAGATCTGGATGAGAAATTGGGAAGTTCTTCACTCTGAGGGTGGTGAGACCCTGGCCCAGGTTGCCCAGGGAAGCTGTGGATGCTCCATCCCTGGAGGTGCTCAAGACCAGGTTGGACAGAGCTTGGAGCATCCTGGTCTATCAGGATGTGTCCCTGCCCTTGTCAGGGGGGGTTGGAGTGAGGTGATCTCTAAGGTCCCTTCCAACCCAAACCATCCTGTGGTTCTATAATCTTCATTTTGATTGATCATGAAACTATCCTGATGATCTCAACTTCAGTGCTCATTCTGCTCCCTTCACTCTGTGCTTGAGAAGGAAATACATGAATCACCTCCACAGTCATTAAAAAAAAAAAGCTCAAATAGGTTTATTTTGGCACAATTTAAAAATATACAAATACATTAAATATCAGGGTTCATTAAAGCCAATTTTTTTAAAAACATAGCTAGGTACATATTATTTTGAAGGGAGATGGAAACTAAACCACCACATTATACATTTAATTTGACAGTGCAAACGACTGAGAAACTGTTTAGACCAGGAGTCCACTGTGCCAGACAGCACTGAGAAATGCTGAACAGGTCCTGAAATAAAAGTAAAAACTTGTTGCATTAAAAAGGGTTTGGTGGGGGGAGTGTATGGGAAGAGAGATGTTATCATGGAGTAAAATTTGACTGCAGGGATGCTGGAGCATTAGATGCTTGACATGAAACTGTTACACTATGCACTGGAGGATGAGAGAGGGTTCAGACAGCACGATGACATGAATGATCCATGATCTATGTGTAGAAAGAATATACTGGCAACTAAGCACTACAAGAATGCACTATCCTAGACAGGATCACCAGCACAAACTCCCTGCTTTCAAAGCTGCAGTTTCTTGGCATTATTTGCATAGTTACTCCTTTGCCTTAGTGGTTAGGAAAATATTCAGCAATTAAGTTCAGGAAAAAACCCATGACCTCCAGACAGAATTTCTACCTGTGGAAAAAAAAATAATATCACAGCAGCACAAAGACAAAAAGACATCAAAAGGCCAGAAACCAAACTGCCACCTCTCCTGAACTTGGAACCTAGGAGCTACAAAGCACATTGCACACTGAAAGCTTGAAGGGTCTCAAAAGGGCATTGTCTGCTGTCTTTAGTGTTATCCAGTCAAACAAAAATTATATTTATCATTGTGATAGAAAGACAAGCTTTAGTTTCTCCATACAGCAAGTCAGGCTTCTTGGTTTTGGCACAGGGGCCTCTTCATGACTTGTTCTTTACCCCCAGTCTTTGCCCTGGCATGTTGGGGCACTACCCATGATCTCATTGCCTTGTAAGCAGAGAGATAAAGGTAAATACAGCTCCAACTTATATAAGTCCAGGTCTCTTCAATGTGATAGATTTATCTCCACCCACCCCAGTTCTCATCTTTGAGCTCTGAATACCTTTTTTAACCACAGAGAAAAGGCAATCTGGATCACAAGGTCTGGACTCTCCATGTGGGTGTCACGTCAGCTCGAGACAGTTAAGTTCACATTTTCCTGAAAAAGAGAACCTGCTGTTCCAGTTCCTGTTCATGCCAGTGGATGCTGATGAAAACCTTCCAAGTCATTTATTTTGGGAGCAGAGACCCATAATGGAGTGCCAGCTAAACCAAATTGGGCAACAGCAACACAGGTAGGTGGGGATGCACAAGCTGCATAGTTCTCAGCTCACATATGGTGACAGTGACACTTCAACCAATTTAGCAGCCTCAGGTTTCTCACCTATTTCCCAGGCACCCACTCTGATGCCCAGACCACTGTGCCCATTCTGCTGATGGAGGTGTTCACATGGCAACAGAGTCAAGCAGGAAAAAAAAAACCTGGTGAAGGATAACCTAGCCAAAAAAAGAATGTTCCAGCTCCTTTAATTTCCTGCTCAAGTGCCTGCTCAGCTCTCACAGCTGGCATACAAGGGGCTGGGAGTGGGGGCTGTTTAGCCTGGCACTTTCAACAAGGAAATCCTTGTTGAGCTCTGTCTGTAAGGTGCTGGCCTGCAGATGTCAGGCATGCTCATGAAGGGCTTGACTAAAGAAACCCCTTATTGCCTGGGGAGAAGTTTACTGACCTCCCCAGCTCAGCTCAACCCTCACTGAGGTGTCCAACAGCCACTGAGCTACCTGCAGGAATTCTGCTTTCCCTTCAGCTGCTGTGCTAAGGGCAGGAAGGTAACAGAGCCAGTCTGCAGGACAGACAGCAGCCTGTCAGTTAAAGCCACAGAAAATGGCTCTTGATCAAGGATTGAGCTAAAGCCAACTGGAAAAGCTTCCCAAAAAGATTCCCTCACTTGGGATGGGACCCGTGCCCACCACAGCCTTCAAAAGCACCAAACCCAACAGTATCTGGATCGTGGATCTAGATTCACAGTTAAAAACCAGGGTCAGCTATGTCATAGGCTGAAGAGGGTGCTCCAGGAGGCAGCTTTTTTTTGCTTCAAAAGGATACTGCATGTTAAGTATTGTTATATTGTCCTGCAGGGTAAAACAGTGGCACTTGGTGTTAGCATTTACAAGTGGGTCTTTCAGACAAGTCCACATCCTTGAGTAATCCCAGTCTTTTTGAGACACTCAGCTCTGGGGACACAGAACACACCACAACACAGGGAGAGGAACCTGCCAGAACACAAACCGGACCAAAAGGCAGGCAGATTCTTTCAAGATTTTAAACACAGCATCTTGGAGGAGACAAATGAAACCACAGAGCTGGAATAGTGCATCTGAGGATGACCCCAGCAGTTCACTGAGCTGGATGTAGCCCATCATCACTACCTCCACTTTCATCCACCTCTCCAGGAACATTTGGCACAAACACTTCGACGCAGGAACTCGGCTTCCGTTTAGGTCAGCTGCTTGTGATGTTTTCCTGGCACTTCAGGAGGATTCAGGAAAAAGTTTCCTCGACACTGTGTGCTCTTACAAAGTCCTCAGTGAAGCACAAAGGCTAAACATTGCTGACCCTGGTTTCAGAGGAGATGATAGCAGCAGATGCAGACGTCACCAGCGAGCGCTCCCGTCGGACGTAGCGTGGCTTCCGAACTGAAATGGTGGGGACAGAACCATCAGCAGCAGCTCCTCCTGCATCACCAGCACCCCTTTAGCATTAACTCATAACACCACATGCCACCCAGCAACTCCTGAGGGACCCGAGTCATTCTGGACCTTAAAACCCAAAACTAAAGCAAAGCACAAAAAGCCCTACGTAGATCCAGCAAAAGTCCATAAAAAAAAGCTCTTTAAATAAGCTTCTAATGGCCTCCTAAATAAGGTGCTCATTACAGGCTGGAATTTCAACTATTTGTGTTCACAGTGCATGTAGCTTTCCATTTTCATCCCTAACAACACCCTCCCCAATGTACTTTCATTTTAAACAGGCATCTAAATTAAGGGAAGCAAGCTGAGACTTTTCACAAGCCACCCTGGCTGTCAGTTTAACAGCCAGACCCTGACCAAGTTTGGAACACAGAAAATGCTTAAAAGTTAAAAGCCCCTGCTAATAAAGATTAAATTTTAATTGTACCACCTTGATTAAAAAGGCCTATGCATACATGAGGAGTGAGACCAGGAATTTTGCTTAGCAAGCTCAAGTTTGTAGAAGATTTGATCTGTCTCAGCTTTAAGTCACTACAAGTTCTCTCACTGGAGGTTTCACACACATTAAAAATCCACCTTGCCAAAAAGGGCCAACCTACAAAGGCCCCACACACATGAAATGTTATATTCCAACCAGTCTGTGTTCTTTGTTTCAAGAAGCTCCTAAGGTTCAAACCAGCAAGCCTGAAAATGAGCCAGCTCTGCATTGCCAAGAAGATTCCAAGCCTGAAAATAGGTCCCAGATTGAGTAATTTATTTTTGAGCACTTATGACAAAATGCTGCATCTGCTTGGAAGACTTCCCTATTTGGATAGAGAAGTCCAATATCTATTTTAACATAAAAGTTCTCCATCAATACTGTATGCCTACATTAATTAAAGCAATCAATTCTACCCAAAAAGGTCTACTAGGCAGATTCCATTGGATTTCTGTCCCTTGAACAGATTGCACATTTCCATACCAGGCTTTACAGGTAATTGTTCTGACTTGCTGTGTGTTCTTAACATATCCACTTTGAGTTTGCCTGCTTTTCAATAAAAAGATGCATAAAAGGGAAGCCAACAGGTAAAAATATTTATAGGAATATGCCTCAGAGAAGAGTTCCTCACCTGAAGAAGCTGGGGGAGGTATCATGGATGCCTGCAGAAGAGAAGAATGATCATGTCAATCAAACCAGCTCTTGTCTTCACAGCCTTATTGAAAAAAATACAGGAACACTTCAGGGTTCCAACAATATTTCCTGTGTACAGAGTCTTTCTTGGAGAAAGTAACTCAATAAAAATCCATATGGTCAGTATTCATCTTTCACTGTGTTTCCCCAGTTTGGACAAAGAACCCCCAAACACGTTTTATTTTTCTTTCAGTCTCTCCCACATCTGATTAAGTAGCTCCCTAATGAACTGTTAAAACTTTAATTTGTTGTTTACTTGCTGTTTCATGCTTGCTTGTTCCTATTGGAAGGAGAGAATTTACTTACTGTTTCACTAGGCTGCAGAACAGATGCTGAAAGGGAAACAAAGAGAGACCAACCATCATTAATCTAGGAGGTTAGAACTGCTAGTCTTCTAAAAACACACACATGGGACAGAATAGTTCCATTTTTAAAAAAAAAGAGTTTTGTCACAGACTACCAAACCAGCTCAGACCATTAAAAACCCCATTAGCAGAACACACTGTCTGTAGGACTCTTTTCAAGATTAGAGATAAAAGGTTGCAAGGGTTTCCCAGAAGAACTTTTTGCTCTCAGAGAAGAAAGCTGCAGCAGTATCTCTTCATATGAAGAAGCTTCAAGAGGAAAAAATGGCACTTTGAGGCAACTACTAGAAAAGGGCAACATAGAAAACAACTGAGCAGTGAAAAGTGCAACCCTTTTATAGAGGAGGTTGCTGCCTTTATTGTATCATAATCATGATCCAGACAGAAGGAATATTAACATAATAAGCCAGAGAAATGCTTTTGTGCTTTCTGTACTTCTCCTTCCCAGGAGGACACTGATGTTTCATCCTGCTGGCCCAGATTGAGCTACCAGCACACGTGGAAGTCAGACCAGTATCACTGAAGCCTCAGAGTCTGATGTCCTGCCAGCTTAGAATGTCACAGCACAACAGCTCTTGACCCACTTCAGTACTGAAGGAGAGTCTTGTACTCCCTCAGTTCACCTGAGGACACATGCAGGAGCAGCCTGGAGGTTTCAATACAGCAGTTGTGATGGGGATGTTGGCAGTCCCTGTGGCACTGATCAGTTTACACCTTACACAGCTACTGGTGTGTGCTTTAGATGAACTGATACCACAGACTGGAAATGGGATGTTCTGTGAAGTTACTGGGACTAGATACAACATTTTTAGCCAGCAATGGAATTGGACTGCCCCACCCAGCCCCTTTTTCCTCTCTTTAAGCTTATTTCTACTGTGCAAGTCTAGCCTGAGCTTGTCCCTGTAAGGCATGAATGAAAATAACAGGAGGTCTATTTGTTTAGCAGATCTAAGCAGTCAACAGCTTGCTTTCAACAGAAGGAGCTCTAACACAGCAAATCTGTGCTGCAGGTTGTCATGGGAATCCTTCAAAGTGCCTGCCCAGAAGGGGCGAGACAGTCAGAGATCGACCAGTTTCATGCAGAACACTGGGCAAAATGGAGACATCACCCTGCACCCCTTTCCCTCACTGCCTCCCAGAAATTAAGGCCAGTAAAATGGGGATACATAGAACAACTCCACAGAAACTGAAGCATCTAAAAGAGCCAGATATTTCCATAAAGTCTTGGTGCCCTGTGGCTAAGCACACCCCAGGGGTTCTTTCTCTAGCTCTTCTGGAGGCACTTTGGCATGAAGTCAGGTCGCTGCATTTTAGTGACATTTCTCAGGAACAGGAATGGCAGAAATAAAGAATCATTTTCACTGTAAAAAGAAAAGCTAAGGGGTGTTTGCCTAAAACAAAAACAGAAAATCAGGCAGTTCACTCTTCCAGGCCCCAGTAAATGCTGCAGTTAGAGGGCAAACACAGTTAAATGAGTAGTGCAATAATGAGGAATCTCAAATTCCATTCCCTTTCTCCGGCTGAAACATCCATGCTAACTACATCACCCTTTCATATTCCAGTTCCCTTCTCTCTAAACCAAGAATAAACAACAATTTGCTTTATAGATGTCTGGCATTTTGCATACTGATATAAACAAGTATTATTAAGTTCCATAAAAATCCCCTCTGCACAAAAATCACTGACTGGCTTCTTTTTTTTTCCCCTCCCCTTTTTGAAATGAGATATCTAATATTCAGTAATCAGATATCTAATATTCAGGGACTACCAGCATCAAGTATTGTACTCTGGCAAATCTCTGAAAGCTCCAAAAACCAATATCTGGGTTAGTGAGAGATACTGTGCAATAAGCACCCAAGCAGACTCAGCCTGAGAACAGACATCTCCCTGAAAACAAACACTAAACACACAGAAGGAAACAAATCTTGTATTATTTTGCACTGCTTTGGATGATCAGAGGAGATAGGAGAAGAGACATTAATGTAGAACACCAAAAGGAAGACATTTAAAAGGTTTTAAATAAAGAAGCTGAGCAAAAGCCAAAACTGTAGAGATTCAATAGATAATTTCAGGGATTTTTACCTTTGTTTCTTCTGTAGAAAACATTAGGAAGTTTATTGGCACGTTTGAGGTAGAAGAAAGAAGCAACAGACAGAATCAGGAATAAACTGATGAAAAATGTCCCTAAGATGAGAGAGGCTGCCACTTCTGGGCCTCCTGTGCAAAAAAAAACACAATAAATAGAAAAGAGGAAAAAAAAGAGGAGACTGTTATTCACTAGAAATCTCTTCTAACAGAAGAGTTAAACAAAAGATTAAAAAACCTTGATCTTTATAGGAGAAAAAACAGTAAGTTTTAGGTTTTTTTTTTTTAAAATATATAGAATTCACTAGAAATCTCTTCTAACAGAAGGGTTAAACAAAAGATTAAAAAACCTTCTTGATCTTTATAGGAGAAAACACAGTGAGTTTTGGGGTTTTTTTTAAATATATAGGCAGACTTCACTGAAACATTTGCTAAGATCTTTCAACAGTCATTCTGCTACAGCCCCACCTGCCAAATGGCAAGAAAACCTTAGTCCCTGCTTTCCTCAAGAGAGCCACCAAATTTTAATCCATCATCCTGCCTTTTTTTTACATAAAACTTTCAAAACCAGTGCTGGGAGGTCCTGAACATTAATATTGTTCTTTGGTTCCTCAAATGAAGTCTTCTAAATACAGAATTTGCTCAACAAACAATATACCACTGGTACAGTACACCCAGTATTGTGTTTCCCACAAGGGACAGATACAGAAACCACCTCAAGGAGGCAAACCATGAGCAAAAGGTGCCCTCCTCACCTCTAGTCAGCTTTCCCTGCCTGAAAAAAATGCCCTGCTATTTATTCTGTTTTATTTATTTAAGATTATGATCTCAACAAGCAAGTATTTTAAGAAACCAGAGTTGTTCATGGAGTTGTTGCAGACAAAGTAGGACAACATCTACCTGACAAACTCTGCTTGAGGAGCACAAAATACTTCAAGTACACCCATGGCAAATGTTAGGAAGGGATCAACAGCACCCAAGTTTGACATGGCTGTGTAAGGTTGTCAAATATCTAAAAAACAACTTGCAGCACAATAACACTCAAGTTATGAGGCTTCATAAAAAAAAAGGCTCAACCTGTACCAGAAAAATCACTAGGACAAGTCTAGGAAAAGAACCAGTCAGTGAAACCCCTCAAAAATCAACTCTAAGACTTATAAAAAGATTCTTGTTGAGAAAGAGCCAGAAAAAGTAAAAGTGGCTATATTGAAAATAAAATCTATGCTACAGAAATACCTATTTTACAACCTGTTTCCAATGCCACATCATGAAGGGGCTGATACACAGTGAATAATCACAAGGCCACGTGGCTCAACAGCCATTTCCATTTACTCACCTATGTTCTGGATGAAAGGAGTTACAGTGCTGATATTCATTTGGAAATTCATTCCTCTGATACCAGCTGTAATCAAAAAGAATTTTTGTTAAAGTAAAATCTGACAAAACCTACAGATTTGTTGAAAAAAATCTTAGTAAAAGACTATTATACTTCTTAGTAATGGTTTAAAATTGTGTAAGAATCCTGACTTGTCCCATGAAAAATTCCTTCTTTATATCACTGTTAATTTTTTTTTTAAAAAGCAAACAAGCAGCATCATAATTTGTCCAAAAAGAAAATACTTCACTAGTGCATCTCCCAGAAACTTACATCAAGTTCATCTCTTTCATTAAAAATATTTACAAGGAATTTAATAGCTCTCATCTCTCAAAGCACATGTATAAAAATCAATCCAGTCTTTTTAATATAGATTTTTTAAAGAACTCAAATACAGTCTGAGCTTGTTTGTGCTCTGGAGAGCCCCTATAAAAGGCCCACAGCAAAATCCCTTTTTCTTGCAGCAGATTAAAGCAGTCACAAAATTCAGTATTCACTGTATGTTTGAGGTCTTGACCTGTAAATTTAATCACTTTGATATTTAGGACTTTTATTTTAAGAACTTACAGTGGGCAGAATGATATAATTTTTTTAATGTCACCTTTGACTTCACAGGTTAGGTACTCTAATATACAACAAGATTTTAATTTTCCCCCCTCCCTTCATCCTAGACTCTAGAATAGTTTCTCTGCACAGTTTCTGCAAACTAAATTACAAAGTTTCCATAAGCTTTTTTTTCTGCACTCAGAAGCTCAGAGTTATATGAGGACTTTGGAAAAGGCTGAAGTTTTACAAGGGAGGGATTTGATGTATTTTTGAACAATCTTTGCTGGACCAACACATGCAAGAAGAGATCTTGGGACCCAAAAACACCCATCAAAATGAAAGGGTGGTGAATGACTCACTAGTTCTGCATTCAGTCAAGTTGTGAACAGATGAAATGGGAAGAGTTTCATTTTTGCATCTAATGCAGCTGCTACTCCCATCCTCATTCCACCTCCTGTAACAACCTGCCCAAAAACAAGATGTAGAAGAGGTTTGAAAACCACCAAAGTGACACTGGAGCTGTTTCCTAGTCCTTGGGAAAGAAGCAGAGGCAACAGAAATCCCCTCAGTTTGGTCTAGTGGTTACAAACATCCCCTGATTCCTATTGTATTACCCAAGTTAAGAGGTTTCATTTCAAAGTGTTTATTCCAGGACAGCTATAACCTTTCAAGGGCCAGAAAAGAGAAAGAGTTACAAGCAAACAACTCCCAGAGGACAATTTCAGCATAGCTCCATTCACTGCTTCACATGTTTTAGTCTGGAGTAAAATGGGAAGTGTCTAACAACCTGTAACAACCCTTGACAATACTAAAAAAAAAAACCTCAACAGAATTTTACCATTTATTTTGTTTGTTGAAGCAAAATTGAAATGCCATTTTAATAGAAAGTATTGAAAATAGAAGCAGGCAAGGGCAAAGATGCTCAGAACAGGAGTGTACTTGGATGAAAAAAGAGATGCTGGTGGCCCTGCAGTCAATCACTTGAAGCATGGCAAGCTAAAAATAAGAATACTGCCATAACACAGCCTTTCCCCCCATGCCTCAGTCCTCTCAAGTATGGTCCTATTTGTTTCACTTTAAGAACTGAAGCCTGTTTAAATGATTCTGTGACAGATGGTGAGTGTTTTCTATCAGTCACCCCACCATGCAGGCTGGAAACAGATTAAACTTTCATCTTGGCCTATGCCTTCCACGTTCAAATCTCTCAATTGAGGTTTAAATGCTATGTCTTTGTTAAGACAAAAATATTATTTAGGGCACATCTTCAATAACAACTTCATTTAATACAATAAAGCTGTGGTGGTTTCACTTGAGGCTTAGACTTGAGACATGAAGATTAGAAGGATATTCCTACTAGATCATATTACAGTCTACATTTAAAGGGAAAAAAAAAACCCCAACAACTTTACTGTGCTGGCTAAAATCCAGTTCTATAAAGCCTTGAGCTAAACTGGTATCAATTATCCCATAAAGCAAACCATTAGTAAAGGTGCTGATTTGAAAACAGCTCTGCTGCTATGTTTTCCTTAGAGAGAAGCAGCATGCTTGATGCCCAGAGTAATAAATTACATCTGACATTTAATCTAAACACAAAAGGACCCAATCTAAGGGCAAAGACTTTCTACAGTAATAGGAAGGGAGCATCTCAACACTCCTCTGACACCAAAGATATTGGTAGATTATCAGTTTACAATATGATTTAAGAGAACACAACCCCATAACTCAGAAAGAGTTTTTTTTTATACCCCCAGATCATCTAGAAGCAGAAATGTGTGCATTAAATGAAGCAGTGGTTGGAGAAGCTAATAAAGCAGTGAAAATAGGCTTAAAAATGCTTTAACCACCACGGCTGAACCCAGAAGTGAACCCCAATTTTTAATTCTCTTGGTAGTGTGGGCTCTGAAGCCTTTTCCCTGCTTAGACTCTCTGATTTCAAATCAAAAGGCATTAAGGAAAAGTCCACCCTTCTGCTGCTGCTGGGAAGTGACAAGAGAAGTTTTTAAACTCAATTTAGAAAACAACTCTAGGTATATGGCACAAAGAAGAATGAGGCATTCTGGGCTAGCAAGACAACACTGAAATTATTCTTAATGCTCCCTTGGATATGCATTACAGCATTTTTGCTTTTTATTCTCATTATATGGGCTTTTAGAGCTTGTAAGCATTTACAAGAACTCTTTCATAAGCCAACTGCACACTAAATAAAAAATAACCTTGTTAATAGTTGTCTCTTCTTCCTACCAGGCAAGAAGAACATTTGTGAGTCATAAGCAGCATTGTCTTGTGTATAGAAAAGGAAAAAAAGACTTCAACATCTGCATGTGCTGCCTGTTTTCTTTTCCCTCCCCAAGTATTTAAGTGCTGTATTTTGGGGTTAAGCATCAAAACCAATCCAGAATCTTATTAAACAACAACACACCCTACCTGGACTGCACTGGTTGGTTACTGGACAGGAACTGTTGGAATCCAACATATCCCCACAGCATCCTGTTTCTGAGACCTACAAAAAAGAAGTTACATTTCCCACAGTTCTTCAGCTGACTACAATGCTTCACCCCCAAAAAGCCCACAGAGAACATAAAGGACTAAGCAGCAACTGCAATTAAAACCTGCTGTAGCTTTTTTCTGTTAAGCAACCTCACAAGGAGAGAACAAACCAGATGTAACATCAACCTGCTTTTGACCTGGCAGCTGCTCCCCAAGCTAACACTTTGAGAACAAACACACACTCTGCTGTTGACATTGGACAAAGCCTCAAAAAACCAAAAAGGGGTTAGAAATATACTTGCTAAATTCTTCAGTGCAGAGGGGGAGTTCTCCTTCCCACAGCACCACACAAAAGCCCTGTACAGGTTTGTTTAGAAATCCTGCTGGCAAAAGCTGAGCCCTAAGTTTAGACATAAAGGGTGGTTAGAAACTCTGTGGGGTTTTGATAGATATTAGTAACATCCTGCACAGATTTGGGCACAGCCACTCTCTGAACCTGTACAAGAAAAAATAAGCCCCAAAATTCCCAGTCCTTTTAAAGCTTTGCACAGGTGTGTAAAAGATGTAGCAAGTCAAATCAGTCTTAAATAAAGATGAAGTATTTTTGGTCAAAAGGAACAATACCTGCTCAATATTCAGCCTCAGAACTAATTTCAACACACCTAACATGTAAAAGCCAGTAGGAGTTCTGCTTATCAGCAGAGCCCATCAAATCCAGGGGTGAAAAGGATCAAAATTATCAGAATAAATGCTCAGGACTGTCAAAACTGCAATTAGTAGGCTAATTTCACACCATTAGTGCATCATGGGGAGGTAGACAACAGTGAAGCACCAGATCTATAGAAAATATGCCTAAGACCAGTTTCTTAAAAAGTTTTATTGGTTGAACCCTCCTTGGAGCAGAATTTTATGCTCCTTATACTTTTTTTCTGCGACTTGAAGCAATGTTTGCCTCAGAGCTTCTCAAGCATTTGAAAAGTTAACTTTTGGGTACCCATGTTTTGAATTGTTTGTAGTTACAACTGCCCAGCAGCTTGAAGAGGAGGTTTTGGATCATCATGGGTGCTTTTTCCACATGGTGTGAGGCATTATCAGCTGCATCCCTGCTAGCCCACAGGCACATGACTAGGAAGAATTCAATGCTTTATAGGCAATCAGCCATCAGAGCAGATTGACCCTCTGTAAAAATTCCACTTAATGACTGCTGGGTCATTTCCACTGAATTAGCCAGCCTACAAACTGCAACGTGAGAGGAAAACAACCTGATCCTTCTGGTTTTACAGTGCCTAGCAGAACAAACCCCATGAAGTACCTACCAAAGGTTCAGTAGATTTGCTGGCAACTCCTGCTAGGAGTCTAGTTAAAAGAAGGACATATGGCACCTCCATGCCCAGGAAAGACTCAGGTCTAAAGGAGAAGAGGGAAAGAAATTAGAATTTAATAGTGACAGAGAAGTTATGCTTTCCCTTTGTCAAGAAACTTTTCAAACACACTGCTCTAATTTGAATGCAAAGGCCCTTAAATTAAATATGCCAGGGGGAATGACTTACCTTGCTTCAGGATACAAATTTGAGACACTCAGAACATTCCCTCCAGCTGCAGAGGGGCAGGTTTCTGCCTATGGCAGCCTGTGGTTGCTAAGAAACCAGGAACCTTATCAGTCTGCTCCAAACTGGGCCAGGCAGAGACTGTTCCACTCCCAGGATCTAAAAATCAATGTGCCTACAATCGAACAGTGAGTGCCTGGCACCACCACTGATAAGCTCCCCACAGCTCCAGGCTCCTCTGCCTGCAGCACTGAGCTGTGATGGATTTCTAGGACAGAAAGCACACGCCACGTTGAAAAGGCAATGCTGTAATTAATTTCTCCCATGACAGCCCAGTCATGAAGCATTAATGAAGTCTGTCTGTTAATAAGCAGTATTTCCCCATTGCCTCAGCCCAGACCTTCCCAATGTGGAACAGAGTATTTTTAGCCAGTCTGCTACAAGCCTTGCTTCCCCCCCCCCCCCCCTCCCCTTTCCACTTTTGCCATCTAACTCCACATTTCTGACATGAAATTGTGGGGATAAACCCAAAGGTGCCATGTCATGCTTGAGCTGCATTGTTCAGACACTCCCTGGGTCAATATTCTAACATTTGCCTGCTCTCTGGTCCATAGAATGCTGGGAGCCACAGCCAGAACTCAGAACCTGCAGTACCTGAGCTGGAGAACAGTCTTTCACACTGTAAATAAAACCTGGGGACAGACCAGGCCCTCTAAAGAGATTAATAAGAGGAAAGCATCTGAAATGAAACCTTCAACCATAAGGGGAAAACCCTTTTAGTGACTCACCTCACAAACTGAAATCTGTTACTATTTTTGTTAAAAATCAAGTGGATGAGTTTTATATGACTGCAAAATATGCACCATGACCCTTGGCAAGTTCTTTTTTTTCTGAAGAACAAAACCACTGAGCAGTTCCTATGATTAATTTCTGTGCAGTTTTTGTTTGAAAAATCACTTACCACAGAGCCCCTTGCCTCAACTTCAAAACAAGATCAGTTCAGCTGGGTGGGAAAACTTCTTATTATCCCCTGTTATCAGCTGAAAACTCCAAGATGAAGGAGTGAAAATCCTGACAAACCAAACCCCAGCCTTAGGAAGCTGCTTATGATTCAGTAAATAATTCCTGATGGGAGTGTTGCCCTTAGCTAGTTTGACAGAGCTTTCCACTCCTGTGTGATAGTGTAAGAGGACTCATACAACTAAGAATAATTCTGGTTCAGATCACATTAGGTGTCACTTCAATTTGAACATTTAACCTTTTAAAAACAGGGTTTTTTTTTGTTTTTATGCCTTTCTATTGCATTTAAAGATGAGTAAAACAACTTTAGGGTTTTTCAAGGTGTTGCAGCTGAGTCTAAAGTTAAAACAATCCTCAGGATGTGCACATGGATGGATTTTAAACAAATACATACACAGAACTTGCCTTATTAGCTGTGAGTTTTCTACAGCCTATCATCAGAAAGGAGATATTGCATCTTGAAAAGAATTCCTCTGGGAAAAACAGTTACTGACATGCACTGAGAAATTCTTCATTGTTTTGGAGGCTAGACATATTTTTTTTGTCAACACATGATTATTACAATAGCTGTAAATACTAGGAAAAGGCAGATGAAAAAAAAAGTATTCATTTAAACAAGAATATTCATGTTATTCTAGAGGAATATATATTTTTAGGAGCAAGAAAACATTTGTAGAACTAACCATTAAGTGCCCAGTCCTGCTCTTTGTGCTGCAAAGAGCTACAGAAGCTGGATCTTGGTGGCATTTCCACTCCTGGAATAAATCAAGACAGTCACCAATCCAGTTGCAGTTATGGGCAGCTATGTTCACAGCCACTAGTGATTCTCACAAGCTACAGCATCTGCCCTGCAGCTGTTCCAGTAGAAATAGGACATGAGATCTATTTGCCCTCAAATCATCAGCCAATATTTTTTATTTCTGTGAGAGACACAATCTCTAAGTTATATAGAGATATCTATTGGGGGATTGGGTTTTGTTTGAAGCAGTTTTTAAGTGCAGGAAAGAGAAAGAGATGAACAAACTGCTTCAAAGCTTCCAAATGTAGATGTATGTTGTATATTTTGGGTTCTCTTATGGGTCAGGAAGAATTAGAAGCCTATTAAGATATAAAATATAAATAACATCTGGCTCAATGAGGCAGAAATTCAAGCCATGAAGGTAACATGAGCTAGCTATGTGTGTTTAGGGCAATGCCCATAAAAGATATCAGACTGAAGCATCCATCTTCTTTATATACATTAAAAAACCCCTATATATAGTCTTCCTAAAGCCTGGCTGTGCTACACCCCAGCAAGAACTTGGGACTTGTAAGTCAAAGAATAAATCAAGCGCAGAGTTTTCAAAGACAGCAACTTCAAGCAGGGATTTCTTCTGTTAATTGGCCTCCTCACACAAACCCACAGAATTAACACAGCTCTTTTTATTCCCTTCCAGCCACGAGTCAATCATAGCTCTTCTCCTGCCAACCTGAACAATATTTCACACCATCATTTTAACTTGAGGAAGGAAAAAGCCCTAAAGCCTCGAAGACATTCACTCTACTCAAGTAGTAACCATGCCTCTGAATGAGATAACTGAAGTTTTAGTTTGCAAATTAAGTGCATGGATTTGATCAGGATCAGACACCCACAGCAAAATCATTTACAAGCCCATAGAATATGTTTCATGTTTGGCAGCTTTTTCTCTTTGGCTTATAGAGGAAAAAAAAGTAATATCATGCACAAAACAAGAGCCCAAATTAGCAAGTATTTATGCTTGAGATGCCAACGCAGTTTCCAGAACAGACAATTTAATTAAAACAAGTATTTCACACCAGAATTCCACATTTGAAACAAATCTCAAGTCACTGTCAATGTGCCACAGTACACATAAGCTAAATACATCAAAATTCACCAAGGGAATTCTTCCTCTTGTTGCTTTTAAACCAGAATGCCAACAATTCATGAACACTAAGCACTAGAAGACTTTTTCCTCCAGCTCCTAGAAGCAAATGTTCTTTAATTCATTTTTATGTCTACATTTTCCATACATAGAGCTGCACATCTCTTATTCCTGTTGTATTATCAGTATCTTTCCTGCTTAAAGTGCTGCTGGAGCACTGTTTGAGCAAGGTAATTTTTTTTCCAAGTACCTGAAAAGATGGTAGTAAAAAGAAACATTGCCTAAATCCCAGTGGGTTTTATAATTCACTCAGCAGATCAGGGTTTGAAGCCATATCACACTCATATCACCATCAAAAGCTTCTTAATTCTGATGTAACCCCAAATTAGTCAGGATAAAAGAGTGAAAAGTCAAAAAGCAGCCTCAGAAACAGACTCCTGAAAGCCTAAACTCTCACCTACCTCCTCAGAGACAGGCACTGGGACACTGCATCTTCTTCAGACAAGGCTGAGTGCTCCTGGTATGTGGTTTACTGCTAATGCCTCATTGACACTGCAACTGTTTCACAGCAAACCTGCAGGGTAGAACAGACACCGGGTGTGCTTCGAATCCACTTTCCTAAACCAAAGCTAAAGGAGGACTTGTTTTTCCAGCTTTCTTAACATGCACCCGTGGAAAGAAGGACTATCTCTACCCTTACATCAAAATGATTACCTAATAAGCCAGCAACCAACAATTAAAACTACACACCTTCCACTCAAGAGAAGGAAGATAGCTACTTTCAACTAGGCTCTGCTTCAAAAGCAGTTACATAGTGGAACGTGCCCAGAGCAAACAGCAATTAACACCAACATTTACTGTTGTTCAGTCAACAGAATCCTGGCAGTAACACCTTCTGCTCTCGCAACACTGGTTGCAGCCTTAAAAAAACGACAGCAGCAACAAATATTGGTGTGATTTGGTCGCCAACAGTGCAGCTATACACTACAGGGAGGGATGCTTTGGAAATTGAATATATTCATGGCTTCTTTAGGTGGTTTGTTTGGTTTTTTTCCCCTTAAACAGCACAGCAAAAATCTGTGTTATAGATGTAGGTATGGGCTTGAAGTTGATCCAGGAAAAAAACAAAGAAACCAAAAAAAACCCCGATAAATCAAGAAATAAATTACCCACAACCTTAAAAAGCTTCCGATTGCCAAAAACTGTAGCGAACTGCGGGAGTT